GGAAAATAATGTTGAAAAGTCAAAAATAGTGACTGCCTCAAGCAAGAAGCAGCTGTTGGTAAAATAATCATAACTTGAGCTACATACATTGGATCGAGGTGATTAAAGTTGGGTTGGAAAGACAAGGCACGTTTCTACAACTTTCATGTTTCGGAAGAAGTCAAATTCGTATCACAAGGCAGCCAAAATTACCGTGCAAAGTCCAGCCTGTTACCTGCCGGATACAGCTTTACCTGTGAAGCAGCACTTATTGTTTTTGTCATATCTGGAGTTATATAGATCCAATGAACCTGATCTTTGAACCAATGGAAAGATAACTCCAGTGGAAATAATTTATCTGTTGATCATAAGTCCAAATTCGCTGCAAAATATATCTGAAAATTGGCATCAAGTTGCATGTTCTAACTGTCTTGAAGCTGGACAGAAACAAGTTGCATTGCCTACTTGAATTTACTTGGTTGAAGTTTGTGTTCTACAAATGGTTTTGGTTTGTTAAAGACTTTGATTTATTGTTGACAATTTTGGCACAATAAATGCTTAGATAATCTCTACATACCAACAACTTATTTTGACATATTCTCTCAAACAATTATCAAGATCTATCTTTTAGTATATTTGTAATCAATATTTTATCTTCCATATGAGATCACTCCTTAGTTGATTTTCATATGAGTTAAATTAAAGATCAAGTGCAATTTCTACTCATTTATCCGAAGTGAATCCCCGACGCTCTAGTGTTCGTTTCAATCGTATTTCCACAAACTGTTTATTACTCATAGAATAGTTTATTTCCTTCCCATTCCCTGTGGTTCGACCTCGGACTTCCGAGATTTACTACTTGCGACAACCTGCACTTGGGTTTGCAACCTTAAAGTTGTAGCATAGGTACTTCATGTAAACGTACTATTTTCCTAAAGAATAAGTCTGCAATATTAGTAGTATCGTCAGTTTTATGACATGGTATGAAGTGTACCATCTTACTAAGCCTATCGACCACTACAAATATTGAATCCCGACCCCTTTTTGTCCTAGGCAAACCTAACACAAAGTCCATAGATATGTCTACCCAAGGTTCACTAGGTACAGGCAAAGGAGTATACAAACCATGGGGTTGAACCTTAAACTTAGCCTTTTTACAAGTTATGCACTTTCCACATATTTGTTCTACGTCATGTCGCATTTTAGGCCAATAAAAATGTTCCCCTAACATGTCTAAAGTCTTTTGAACCTCGAAGTGTCCCATTAAACCACCCCATGTGCTTCCCTTACCAATAATTCATGCAAAGAATAATTAGGAATGCACAACTTATTTTCCTTAAACAAATATCCTTCATGCCTATAGAATTTATCAAATGCACCTTTGTCACATGAAGCATAAATACTAGAAAAATCACAATCAGATTCATACATGTCCTTAATATGTTCGAAACCAAGTAATTTAGTACTTAATGAATTTAAAAGCACGTACCTTCGAGATAACGCATCAGCAACTATATTTTCGTTACCTTGTTTGTACTTATGACGTAGGAAAATGTCTCGATAAACTCCACCCATCTCGCATGTCTTTTGTTCAACTTACCTTGACCTTGCAAATGCTTTAAAGATTCATGATCGGTGTGTATCACGAATTCCTTTGGCCATAAGTAGTGCTGCCAAGTCTCCAATGCTCGAACAAGTGAATACAGCTCATTGTCATATGTCGGATAATTCAATGCTGCCCCACTCAACTTTTCGCTAAAGTAAGCAATAGGTTTCATTTCCTGCATTAACACTGCTCCTATGCCTATTCCTGATGCATCACACTCAACCTCGAATGTTTTATCAAAATTTGGTAATGCCAAAACAAGTGCTTTACATAGCTTATCCTTAATTGTGTTAAATGCAATTTCTTGAGATTCTCCCCAATGAAAACCTACATTCTTCTTTACTATTTCAGTCAACGGTGTGGTGATGGTACTAAAATCTCTTACACATCGGCTATAAAAACTAGCCAATCCATGAAAACTCCTAACTTTAGTTATAGTCTTAAGTGTTGGCCATTCTTTAATAGCTTTTATCTTTTCTTCATCGACTTCCACCCCGTTAGCACTAACCACAAATCCTAGGAAAATAACTCTATCCATGCAAAATGTGCACTTTTTGAAATTAGCATATAGTTGTTCCTTTCGCAACACAACAAGCACACAATTTAAATGTTCAAAATGCTCATCTAGGTTTTTGCTATAGATAAAGATGTCATCAAAATAAACTACAACGAATTTCCCAATAAAAGCACGCAAAACATGGTTCATTAAACGCATAAAAGTGCTCGGTGCATTAATGAGTCCAAACGGCATAACTAACCATTCATACAATCCATACTTAGTTTTAAACGCCGTTTTCCATTCATCACGCTCTTGCATGCGAATTTGATGATACCCACTCTTAAGATGAATCTTACTAAAAATGCAAGTACCATGCAACTCATCAAGCATATCATCTAGCATAGGTATTGGGTGACAATACTTTACCGTGATATTGTTGATAGCTCGAAAATCCATGCACATTCTTCAAGTCCCATCTTTCTTAAGCACCAGCAAAACAGGTACAGCACATGGACTCATGCTCTCCCTGACATAACCTTTGCTCATCAACTCCTCCACTTGCCTTTGAAGCTCCTTCGTCTCCTCGAGATTGCTTCGATAAGCTGGTCGATTTGGAATGACAGCTCCGAGTACAAAGTCAATCTGATGCTCGATGCCTCTGATTGGTGGCAATCCACTTGGCATCTCCTCAGGAAACACATCGTTGAACTCCTGCAATAAAGACTTAACCAAACTAGGGAGGGATGTGTTAGAATCCTCAAAATTGAGGAGGGACTCCTTGTACACTAACAATATCATTTGCCTATTATCGTTCATAGCTTTTTTCAACTCACTCTCCTTTGCATAGAAGTTGACCTCTGGCTTTTCTCTCCACTCAACTGACTCCTTTTCTCTCCTATCAATTGACTCTTTTTCTCTCCGCTCATGTGGCTTCTCTCTCTTTTCCCCACTCTCAGCCGCCCCACTATTTTCTCTCTTATTAATGATTTCACTATTGCCTCTCCTTTTTCCTGACTCTCTTATTCTCTCGTCTTCCTCACTTTTCAGCTTGATTTGATCTCCATACACTTGTGCTGGTGTTAATGGTGCAAGAGTAATAGTCTTCCCATCCTTGACAAAACTATAACGATTCCTATAACCATCATGTGTGACCCTTCTATCATATTGTCATGGCCTTCCTAACAAGATATGACCTACATGTATAAGCACCACATCACATACTACTTTGTCACTATAACTTCCAATTGAGAAATTAATTAAAACTCTTTTATTCACCCTAACTTCCCCACTTTCATTCAACCATTGCAACTTATAAGGCCTAGGGTGTCTTAACAATGCTAGTCCTAATTTCTCAGCTAAGGTTGTACTAGCTACATTCGTGCAACTCCTACAATCAATAATCATACTACATACTTTATCGTTGACGTAACAACGTGTGTGGAATATATTTTCTCGCTGTTGCTCCAAATCATCCACTTTGACTTGAGTGTTAAGAGCTGTCCTTGACACCAACGATTCCCCAACAGCAAACTCCAATTTTTCTTCTTCTTCAACGTCCTCCAATGCAGGCATGTCCTCAAACTCTCCTTCACTTTCACTCACCACTTCTCCATTGTCCAACAAAACCATTACCCATCTATTTGGGCATTGAGAAGCAATGTGCCTTGACCCTAAGCATCTGAAACACTTGATGTCTCGATTCCTTGATGGTTGTGAATCTGTTTTAGGTGCTGTTTTGCTAGCACTTTCTTCTTTCCCTTTCTGTCACTCATTCCTACCTTTAGGTACTGCTTTATCACCTTTGTTGTTGTTGTTCCACCCTAGCTTCCAAGAAGGATTAACACTCGAAGTTCCTAACGACTGCCTAGCTGCCCCTTTCCTCTTTAGCTGTCTCTCTACCTTCATAGCCACATGCAACATGGTTTCCAACTCCACATAATGTTACAACCCCACTACATTGGCAATTTTCCTATTCAACCCATTCAAGAATCGTGCCATGGTAGCCTCCCGATCCTCCACCATATTGGCCCTAATCATGAGTATTTCCATCTCCTTATGATAGTCCTCTACACTTTTCAACCCTTGATATAGACCTTACAGTTTTTGATGGATCTCTCGGTAATAGTGGCTAGGAACAAACTTCTTTCTCATCAATGACTTCAATTCCTCCCAAGTGCTGATTGGTCTTCTCCCACTCCTACATTGTGAAGTAATCACTTGATCCCACCATGAAATTGCATAGTCACTGAATTCCAAAACTGCTAACTTCACCTTTTTCTCCTCCAAATAGTTATAACACTTGAAGATCATTTCAACCTTCCTTTCCCACTCCAGGTATGCCTCGGGATCACTCCTTCCTTTGAATGAAGGAACTGTCATTTTTATATTTCCCAATTTTCCATCCAACTCCTCCCCGCAATCATTCTGACCCCATCTGTCGAACCTATCGCCTCTATTCCTCATCCTTCCCATCTCAACACCGTGAAATTCATTTTCGCCCATATCACTCCCATATCCATACTCCTCTCGCCTTTCCCTCCTAGGCTCCCATCTATCCGATCCTTTGGCATTGGATACATCCACTCAATGCCTCCGATTAAGATTAGCCACCGATGTATATAATCTATTCATCCAAGCCTCCTGCTTCTCCAACCTATCTCTCACATCTCCAAACGCCCTTTCAAACCTCTACACTAAATCCTTTGTTGCATTGCTATTATTGCCTTATCGGCTTGAGTTTGATTCTGCCCTTTCTGACATCCTAACACTAAAATTTTATTTTACTGCCTCACCAAAAGTCACTCGGAAACACACACAAGGCTTTTACCCTCTATTAAGCTCACCTCTCTGCCTTTTACCACTCAATTCTTTCAACAATTGCTTCTACGAACAATCAATGAACTCAATCAATCAATCAATTCGTGTAGAATTCCCCAAACCGGATGTGACTCAATAATTGTAACAAAGGACTCAAAGAAAACTTTTAAAACTTGATTTTAATGAAGGAATGGAGTGATTCAATGTGTCCAAGTAATTTAGAAATGATAATGAATAATAAAAGTTGGTATTTGACGAATCAATAATATTCAACAAGTTTTTTTACTGTACAGATGAACAGTAATTTTTTTTTAGATCCGGAAATCAATAACAAAACCAACAAAGAAAACGAAAACTGATTTGGGCGAAAATTGAGCCCAAAAACGGAATTTGAAGATTTTTGATGAAATTTTTTGGATCAAAGATCAAGAAAATCTTCTGGACACAAGAACACGAGAAATTGAAAAAAAATTAGAAAACAAAGGATATAACCTGATTAAATTGGAGCCAAAGCTCTGATACCAACTGATGCGAACCCCATAGTAATAAAACTATGAAACCCACAACGCGATTGATGCGGAACCCAAGAACGCCAATACTAACCTGATTTTCGATCTTGAACCCCAAGACTTGAACCAAGAAATCCTAAATTAGCGAAGAACCTAAAACCCCTTGAATTACAATTAAAAGAACCCACAATCCGATTGATTAGAACACCACAAGAAGTTGAATTTTGACAAGTTCCAAGATTGTTCAAGAAGAACAATAAATTGAAAGAATAATTCTCTCTCTATAATATTAAGCAATAGTCAAAGTTCAAAGGTTTTTACAATGAAAAGATATTCTCCTATTTATACTAATGAATAAAAACGTCCAAAACCATCAAATTATGGTAATAGTTTGATTTCATAAGAATTCTATCGAAACTAGGAAATTTGACCAAAAATAGAAAAATCGCCATTTTCTTTTGGCCCATGCGGCTGCACGGTATAAATCCATGCGGTCGCATGGTTTAACTTGAGTTGGAGTTTTTGTTTTCGGGAACCATGCGTGCGGCCGCATGGAATTTTGCCTTGCGGCCGCATGGTCTTGTTTTCTGCCTCCATTTTCGTCGCTTGATAACAAATTGATCCAAGTCGATTCGGCCTTTGACCCGAACATGAAAGTTGCTCCATTTTGAGTCCCGAACATGGTTCCATCCATGGTTTCTTGAATGACCAATCCCATTGCTTGCTTCACTTACTTTTCCCTTGATCGCGTCATTGGTCTGCCATCAACTATCAACGAGTTTCGTCTCGCACTTGCCTTCGTCGAGCTCGACTCCTGGATCATATCATACTGAATATGTGAGAGGGTTGGGTAGGACACCTGATATACACGAGGTCAGTTATAGTGTAAATATTCCATCTAGAGATGTACAATAAACCAATCTGATTGTAAGAGCATGTGTGATCCTTATAAAAAATTGAAAGCTCTATGCGGATTTAATTGTGTTGGATATGAGAGATTATGATATAATTTTAGGTATGGATTATCTGTCAAAATATCAAGCTACAATAGATTGTAAGAGGAAGTCAATAACCTTTCAACCTTTAGGGAATGAGCCATTTACACTCATTAGGATTGAAAAAGATTTTAGAGTTCCAATTAGATCGGTATTGAAAGTACAAAGGTTACTAGATAATAGGTGTGTAGGGTATTTAGTGAGTGTTATAACTATTGAAGTAGAACACAATCTGAATCTTAGTAATATACCCATGGCACAAGAATTTCTAGAGGTATTTCCAGATGATTTACGTAGGGTACCACCAGATCGTAAGATAGAGTTCGTAATTAATTTAATTCCAGGAACATCTCCAATTTTCAAGGCTCCATATAGAATGTCCCTAACTAAATTGAAAAAGTTGAAGTTACAATTACAAGAGTTGTTAGATAAAAGTTTTATTAGACCTAGCTTTTCACCATGGGTGCACCAGTATTATTTGTTTATAAAAATGATGGTGCAATGAGACTGTGTATCGATTATCAAGAGTTGAATAAGGTGACAATTAAAAATAATACCCATTGCGAGGATCGATGATTTGTTTGATCAATTTCAGGGTGCATCTATATTCTCAAAGATTGATTTACGATCTGGATACCACCAACTAAAGATAAAGGAAGATGATATTTCAAAGATAATATTTAGTACGAGATATGGTCATTATGAGTTTTTAGTGATTCTATTTGCGTTGACAAATGCCCCGCAGCTTTTATAGATTTGATGAATCGAGTATTTAAGGATTATCTTGATAAGTTTGTCATTGTATTTATTGATGATATCTTTATTTATTCTCGTACTAAAGAAGAACATATTACACACTTGAGAATAGTCCTTCAGGTCTTAAAGGACAAATAGTTATATGCTAAGTTTAAGAAATGTGAATTTTGGTTAGATAGAGTTGTATTTTTGGGACATGTAATATCAGGTGAGGGCATATCAGTAGATCCAAGTAAAGTAGAGGCTATTAATAATTGGCCATGACCTACAAACCCTTCAGAGATCAGAAGTTTTATGGGTTTAGCTGGATATTACCATAGATTTGTGGAAGGATTTTCAAAAATAGCTTCTTCTTTAACGAAATTAACCAAAAAGAGTATTAAGTTTGAATGGACAAATGATTGTGAGCAAAATTTTTAGGAATTGAAGAAAAGACTGATATCAATCCCTATCTTTTCAATCCCATCTGGTATTGGAAGCTTTGCTATTTATAGTGATACTTCAAAGAATGATTTGGGATGTGTTGATGCAAAATGGTAAAGTTATTGCATCTATGTCTAGACAACTTAAAGAGTACGAAAAGAATTATCCTGCATATGACTTGGAACTCGTTGCAGTTGTGTTTACACTTAAGATATAGAGGCATTATTTGTATGGGGAGTGGTACGAGATTTATACTAATCACAAAAGTTTGAAATATCTATTTACACAAAAGGAATTGAACATGAGGCAAAGAAGATTACTAGAGTTGGTAAAGGATTATGATTGTATTTATAAGCTATCATCCCAATAAGGCTAATGTTGTAGTTGATGCATTGAGTAGAAAGTCGACATCCAATGTTGCGAGTATGATTGTAACTCAAAAATTAGAATTGATAGATTAACAAAAAATGGGTATTGAAGTTGTGTCACAAGGATTTGTAGAGGCTAAACTTGCAGCATTGACACTTCAACCAACTTTATTGAATAGAATTCAGCAAGGGTAACAGGAAGATGATTGTTTTTCTAAGGTAAAGAATGATATACATGATAGAAAAGCTTTATATTTTCATATATCAGCAGATGGTATCTTGCAATTTAGAGGGCGATTATATGTCCCTGATGTAGAATATACTGGAGGGGACATTTTTTTTGAAGCTCACACAATACCATATTCTATTCATCTAGGAGCTACTAAAATGTATAGAGATTTGAAGTTGCATTTTTGGTGGCCGAATATGAAAGATGAGATAGCCAAATATGTGGGACAATGTTTAACCCGTCAACAGATAAAAGCAGAACATCAAAGGCTAATAGGAACCTTACAACCATTACCTATCCCAGAGTGGAAATATGAAAGATTCACAAGAGACTTTGCAGTGAAATTACCAAAAATAACTAAAGGATAGGATAGTACTTGGGTTATTGTGGATACGTTAACCACATCAGTCCATTTTATTCCAGTTTGTTCCACTTATTCTATGGACCGATATGCTTAGCTTTATGTACAAGAAATAGTTAGACTTCATGGAATACCATTATCTATTGTTTCAAATAGGTATTTTAAGTTTTTATCTCTCATCTGGAGAAGCTTATATAAAGCTTTGGGGACGCAATTGCTATTAGCATAGCCTATCATCCTTAAACTAATGGATAATCAGAAAGAACAATACAAATTTTCGAAGATATGCTGAGGACTTGTGTATTACACTTCCAAGGCCAGTGGAGTAAATTTTTGCCATTGATGGAATTTGCATACAACAATAGTTATCAGGCTACAATTGGAATGGCTCCTTATAAAGAACTATATGGTAGAATATGTGAATCTCCAGTTTATCGGGATGATATTGGAGAAAGAAAACTACTAGGACCAGATATGATTCATAAAATGGCTGAAGTTGTGATGCAAATACGTCAAGGAATGCAAACAGCTCAAGACCAACAGAAAAGCTATGCAGATTAAAGAAGAAGAATGCTAGAATTCACAGTCAGAGACCAAGTATTTTTTAAGATAGCACCAATGAATGGGGTTATGCGATTTGGAATGAAAGGAAAATTGAGCCCAAGAAACATTGGTCCATTTTCTATTATCGAGAGAATTGGAAATGTTGCCTACAAGCTTGATCTTCCTTCATCAATGTCCCAAGTGCACAATGTGTTTCATGTATCCATGTTAAGAAAATACATTGGAAATCCATCTCATGTACTAAAGAGTGAGCCGATAGAGATAAACCAGATTTGACTTATGAAAAAAAAAACTATAGAGATTCTTCAACGAGATTTAAAGTAACTTAGGAGCAAGAAAATCTCATTAGTTAAGATATTGTGGTGGAATCAGTCAATAGAAGAGGCCACTTGGAAAAGAGAAGATGAAATGAGGGTTAAATATCTAGAACCTTTTTGGGTAAACAAATTTTGAGGATGAAATTTTTATAAAGAGGGGAGGATGTAATACCCCTAACTTTACATTGCACTTTGGGCCAATATGACTCATGCATTTCATGCTATTCACAGTGTCACTTGCATTTGTTTTCTTAATTACTTTCTCTCAAAATGGTGCATTCGATTATTGAGATTTTAAGCTTTTAGTCTTCGACTCTTCGACCTAGGTGGTGAATTTTGCACTGAGCTATGATAGAAAATCAGGTTAATCTAGATGTTTGATATTGATAGGTTAAATGATTGTGATCTTGAAAGTGCCAGAATGATTATCGATAAAATTACTCGCTTTAATTAGGCTAATCATGGTTACCGTGAACCCTAACTAAGTCATTAAGATATTCAAGATATGAGGCATGAAATGACATGATCACGGTGCAAAAATATAAGTCTTATATGATGTTATAAACATTGATTTGTGAATTGTGAAATCGGTCGAGAATAGGATGACAATCGGGTAAGCAATTAAATAAACGATTAAGGAATTAGCTCTACAGTATATTTTGGAATATTAGGGCAAGCGATGTAAACCTGTGAGCAACGGACACTCACGAACCCACAACTAGATTGCCACAGTTCCTAAGAATGCCAATGAATCGATGGTTTTGGATTCAATCCCCAAACAATGAATTAAGCAAACGTTAATATATGAAATTAACAACCTTTTGAATACACGATTTAAGAATATCACCCGGGTTTTGTTTGAATGCCATAAGATGTTAAATCTTGATAAGTTTGTTATTGTGAAGCATCATGCCTCGAGAGAGAAAACTCAAATTTTCATTCATCATCAAACTTGGTTACAATGGAATGAAAAATATTATTTATACTAAAACTAATAAACCCTAGAAAATAATCTCAAAAAAGGATTAAATTCAAAAAGCCTAATTTAATAAGGTAAGACACGTCTTATATTATAGAAAAAAAAAATCAAAATATAAAACTTCTAGTTAAAGTTGGAAACTCGCAAAAATCTGTGAAATCCTGCCCAGAATTGGCTATTACGACAGTATAGTATGTTTTATTATGGTCGCATGGCTGTATTGAAGGCTGCCAAACAATTCTCTGCCTTCCCCTATGTGGCCGCATGGATGAACCATGCAGTCGCATGGCTTTGCGTCCGGCACCATTTTTAGCTTCTGGACTTTAGTTGATCCCAGGTATCCAGCTTTCATCCAATCTGTTCCAGCCTCTATTTCCTTGATAAAACTTGTTCTTAAACTTACTAACTCCGTCTCCTTGAGCTTCATGGCTTGATCATGGTTCCAGCAAGCTATTTCGTCCCTAATTGGCCTCCAATTAAATTCAAACTTAGCATGCCACTTTTTCCCGAAGTGCTCCGATTCTTTGGAACTTTGGTGCATACCTTGGATCACATCAGCAAGTAAAATGGATTTTTAAGACATTAAAATAAGCCAAGGACACTTCATTTGTACCTGCAAGGATAGATGTAAACTCGGATTTTACTAAAAGGAACACCTCGATGCATAGTACACATCTTGCCTATTGATTTGTCTTTATAATGGTCAATTCCTTCATTCCTAAGCATTAGTCATGTCTACCACTCCTTTAGGACATCTTATATGTGGTATATTGATTATGCCCAAAGTACAACAGGACGATTGTAGTATAGCTTCAGGGTGCCGTATCCACAGGGAGATGGGAAGATGTTCAAAGGTTCAAAAGCTAGGGTTTTTCGTTATGAATTTGTATGAAAATAATGTACCAATTTGAAATGTGTTTTAAATATCAAAATATAAGATAGCGAAGCACCGGAAGTCTCTCAATTGGTTTGGTCCAATCAACGAAAGTCACTTATGTATTATACTCAATTAAAGAGTTCTCATTCACAATGCTTTGATTGGAAGATATGGCATTTAAAATATTTTAAATCCAACAATAATTCTAGGTTAGTATTTCCAACAATAAACACCATTTCATTCTATTGAAATCAAATCCAAAAACAACAATATACAACTTGCATAGAATTGTAAAGGATTACACCAATAGGTAAATGAAATTAAAATTCAACAGGTAGTTCAATTCCTCGATAGAAACAATATGATTAATCCTATGAAGAGCTTAGTACAAATTAAATCAACTTCATAAAATACTCATGAAAAATAGGAAATCACAATCCTTGAAATGTTTTGATAATAAAAATCATAGTACATTCATGAAGAAACGTTAAAATACCGACACCAATTGAGTTCATTCGAAGCTTCGCCTTGGTTTGTTAAGCCTTCCATGGAGTTTATTGGCTAAAGACGAGAGAAAATGATGTCTAGGTTCATTCTCCACGTTCTGGAGTCTTTTGGGGCTTAAGAGATGTGCAAAAACGTGTTTCCATAAGTAGTGGTATCAATTTAAGAATTTGGAAAATTTGGCCTCGAAGTATAACTATGCGACTGCATGGTTTTATTCCATGCGGTCACATGGAACATTACAAAAGTGGTCTAAAATTTCCTAGAGCCAGTGATGCGATCGCATCGCTTTATAGCCATGCAACCGCATGGTTATTGTCATTTTCTTCACAGGCAGTCTTTAGTATTTTGACCATAATTTTCTCTCAAAATAATCGATTGACGTAACTCAAAGTGAATTGGAAAGCTGACTCAAAGGCTACAACTATTCTTCAGACTCATCTTCCAATTTGATCATTTTCTATGTCAAAAATGGGTCCCAATATGAAGATGAAAATCGGTGCGTAACTTTTTTTCATTTGGGAATTGATGTGTCATCAAACTTTGATGATAGTTCATCCCTTGACTTCTTTTCTCATCCAGTTGATCTCTAACACTTTCAAATCTTCATCATAAAGTTAGACGCCAGTTTGGAGTATTTGCACTTTGGTCCTTGAACTTTCACTTTCTTTCATTTTGGTCACTTTTCGCTCTTTTCTCCCAAGTTCCATATTTTCTACCAAAATGCAACCTGAATCAAAATATAAGTATAATGAGTGCATTTTGATATGAAATAATCACGCGAATGCAATAATTAAGAGGGAAAAATATTATATTTTACATTCTTATCACACTCCCCAACTTGCTTGTTGCTAGTCCCTAGCAATTTAATGCACAACAAAACAAATGAGTGATTGATCCATATTACAAGTAAAGTTGTTGGGTTCCAATTCAACTGCAGTTCGTTATCTTTTCAAACTCAACACCGTAAGAAATTAACAGTGTTATGATCATCAAGTTATCAAAAACACTGCTAAATATACGAGTGTATGTCAAGCCATAGCCATCTTACTGCCAACCCTAACACATGCAACGTCAAGCATGTCTTGAGCCAAAGGCAATAACTCACGGGTATCAAAGTGTCTAGTTTTATTTTCTTTCTATGGGGCTGAGAAAGGGATACACTTATAATTCGGAGGCTTAAATGTTTCTGAATGAGTTACAAGTGAACGTTGATCTTATGATAGGCATAATGTCAAATGAGACTTCGTCACTTTCTTACCACAATCATATTGGGATGAAAACAGTCAATATAAAGGGTTGTAAAGTGGTTTGGGTTAGGCTGTACGAAAAGGAGGAAATAAAGATTCAAGGACTTCCAAGCATGTAGCTATGCATCTCATCACATATCTCGATAGATTACATCCTTCGATCAATACACTCCTGAATATTTCAACCCTAAAATCAATCTTTTTTTGTCTTGTTTCTTTTCTTCTTTACAAATAAGCATTGAATACTTACTACACACTTGGAGGTAAAAATTTGGGAGAATATGTGGAGATTATACTCCAATGTGGAGAAGTAGAGCTGACATGGTGTAATGTGATCCGAATTGGGCCAAAGTCGGTCGACAAATTAATGTTTGAGTCCTAACGAGAAAGAGCACAATCGAGGCCACTTGGTGTTAATTCAAGCCATACAATCACCAATTCAAGCCTTTGGAGTTCAAGAAGTTGAAGTTAGCAAGCCAAGAGTGAGGTTTCATGAAGGGAACGAAGAGCAAAAATAAATTGCGAGTGAAGTAGATCAAGAAGCCACGAACTAGACCAAGAAGCAAGCTGTGAGGTCACACAGCGGGGAGCCAGTGGCCACATCTAAGAAAGCCAGGCAACCACATGGAGCCCTTCAAAATCGGCCGAACAATTTCCTTTTTCGCAAGAATTTTTAATTTCATATTTTCCATATTTCTTAGGAATTTATTAGTTTATTATAAATAGAAATTTTCTTCATTATTGTATTCAGACTTGAATTTTGCGAATTAAATCGAGAGGCTTGCTTGCTTCCAATCTTTGTTCTTAGGTGGAACAACCAAACTTATCAGGATCGTTTAGATCTTGTGGCCTTCAAACTCCAGGTGAAATTTAATTAATTTGTGTAATCAAAAGGTCCTTCATGTCTTTGTTATTGTTGGGTTTTTTGATTCATCAATTCGTTAGGTTAAATCCACAATTTTGAGTAAGATTTATAGATTCCGTATTCAAGAGGTCAATAATTTAATATATTATTGGTTGCTTGGGTCGTGATTTATAAGTTAAATCCTAAACTATAATCTTCAGACTTT